CCCAGCTGTCAGAAGCAGGCTGTCGGCAGGCTGTTACCACCTCAAACAGCTCCTGATCTCTTTAAATTGGCACAATGGCCAAGAAGACATATATGATGCAGTGTGTTGCAACAAGCATTAACATATCTTTATTACCCGCTGATCTGTTATATTTCCACTTTATAGATTAGAAATGTAGTAGTCTTCAAATCAGTGGCGTCACAAGGGGCGTCCCTTCCTCTCTCTTCGGGAGAGAGGAAGGGACCCCTGCGCCATACCTTATTCCGCCGTGTGACTGTCCCCTTCTCTCTCTGCCGGCGTCCATCGCCAAGATGGCCGTCGGCGGGTATCAATAAGATCACAGCACAAGCGCGATGACGTTACGGCGGGGTGTCATCCGGTAACCGCTCCGGGTGACATCCGGCCTCGGGATGCACCTGATTCAAACGCCTCAAAAAATCTGGAGTCTGCAGTACAAACTATATTATACACTACAGAGGGCAGAAACCTCTTTAAAGACTACGGGGTACCATATTTATGGGGTCATTTATAAAATGTTCACAGAGCCGTTCGTTCTGTGAACATCTGAATTTCACACAGGCACTGCATTATTATCATATTATCATATTATTATCATATGATAGATCTGAGAAGCAATGGGATTTCCTATGCTTTTTAGCTCCATCTAGTGGCAGTAATGAGGAGTGAATCCGAAGCTCAGATCAGGTGCCGTAGGAAGGGCAAGGAGATTGAGGCACTCGCTTCGGGCGTAGCTGTGCGGGGGTGCAGCCTTGGCCTATTTCCCCAAAGCAAAACAAATGGCAAACACACTCATCAACTTATCTCCAGCTTTACAGCAAGGTGCACATGGAAGGGCTTTATACAGTACAACAGCAAAAAGATTCCCGGCACACTCACCAGGCAGCATGCAAAAAAAACTTGTCTAACCGCTAAGGTTAACCGCTTAGGGTGACGGGAGGACGCTAGTTTGTGTCCTCCCGCTACCCTAAGGAGAACTATGGGGAAAAACACTGACCCCATAGTTCTCCTTTAATATGCAAGTAGTCACCTGCACACCAGGTCCAATGTATCAACACATCTTTATTCAGATGCAACGAATACATGGTGGCACTAGTGTTTGTCTGATGAAGGAATCACTGATGGTTCAGAAACATTGCTGTCCACTAGTGTCACCATATACAGTAATGTTAGCATCTTAATAATGGCATTTTGACACGTTGGACCTGGTGTGCGGGTAACTACTTCCATATTTACCTTCATGCACATAAACATTAAGTGTTTATAAGCTGTATGGAGCAAGGAGCTGTTTGGCATCAATGGCAGTTCTCCTAAACCAAATGAAGTAAATGTTGAGCTAAGTATCCAATGGCTTGTTGATAGACCTCCAATAAACAATGGGTATGGCAATGGGCACCTCCAGTACAGATGGGTATAGCAGTATCCAAAATCAATACAATACAGGGATTTAAAAGTCTCTGACTCAATCTTGCCCCAATAGACGTCTGCTTAAACAATTTCCTTCCAGCAAACATTTGAAAACTGATACTATTGTTTGAAGTAACAGCAAGCTAAATCCAATGGGCTGGACATAGGACGGGAAACATTGTATCAGTTTTCAAAATGAATGTGAGTTGCATAAAGTTTTTACGTTGTTTGTAACTTCATGATGGGTGAAACGGATGCCGGCGTCTTTGGGGAAGATGTGGGCAGATGCACTTCCCTATTGGTGTCCCTCGGTAACTGTGGTGACTGTAGGTGGTCATAAAGCCTCAGGCTCTGTTTCAGAATAACAGTTTGGAAATAGAGGCAGAAAATTAGGTGCTTTCCATTGCCACAGTGCTAGCAAGATACCGAGAGATACTCAGTGGCCACTGCACCTCGGCAAAGTCAGCAGCAAAACTGACAGTTTTCACTTTGCTGAAATCTCGAACATTTCAATCAAATTTCCTCATTTTGTTGAAATACATTCATGTCAGTTTCAGAAGCCAAACGAAGATGCCTTCCGGTGGTTTATCAGGTGCAATGGGCTTTAATGGTTCCAGAGGGTTCCAGAAGCTCTGACAAACTCTCCAGGATCTGTTCTTTTGCCAAAAAAATGGCCTCTCATTAGCTGAGAACATGACATTAAATACTGAGGAACAAAGGAACCCTAACCCAACCATATATTGACAATGTAATAGAAGCGGCAGCTCGGGCCAGCTTGCCCAATGCAAACTCTAAACCTAACTCTAACCCTAATGCTAACTCCAGACCTAACTCTAACCCTAATGCTAACTCCAGACCTAACTCTAACCCTAATGCTAACTCTACACCCAACTCTAACCCTAATGCTAACTCTACACCCAACTCTAACCCTAATGCTAACTCTATACCTAACTCTAACCCTAATGCTAACTCTATACCTAACTCTAACCCTAATGCTAACTCTATACCTAACTCTAACCCTAATGCTAACTCCAGACCTAACTCCATCCCTAATACTAACTCTACACCCAACTCTAACCCTAATGCTAACTCTATACCTAACTCTAACCATAATGCTAACTCTACACCCAACTCTAACCCTAATGCTAACTCTATACCTGACTCCATCCATTCCCTAATGCTAACTCCAGACCTAACTCTAACCCTAATGTACCTCTATACCTAACTAGGGATGGTCCGAGTGTTCGATTCGAACATGAGTTCGAATCGAACATCGGCAGTTCGAGCGCCCAGCGAACGCCAAACTTTATGGGATGTTTGCGGTTTGTCGACCGCGGACATTCCATAATAGAAAATGCCCACTGAAGCTCTGATTTGTTAAAGTCTTGCACCTGACCACAGGTCAGGTGCAAGAATTTGCCCAATCAGGACTCAGCGGAGGAGGGGCCTGAAGGAGAAAGTTCTCTATCAGGTCCCCCTATGCTGATTGACAGCAGGCGGGTGCAATAGCCAGCTTGCTATTGGCTATTGCATTTTACAATATCCAATAGCAGGCTGGGTATGGCTCAAAGCCTGCAGATGAAGAGGGGGCAGGGCAGAGGAGAAGCGGCCGGACCGGGGGAGCGGAGGAGCTGATGGAGCGGAGGAAGAGGAGCCGACGGACCGGAGGAAGAGGAGCCGACGGACCGGAGGAAGAGGAGCGGACGGACCGGAGGAAGAGGAGCGGACGGACCCGAGAAGAGGAGCAGACGAACCGGCAGAAGAGGAGGTGCGGACGGAGGTACGGGGGCAGCGGAGCAATGCAGCGGTCTGTGTCCCTGCTGCCTCCGCCAACACAGGCGGGGATTTGAAGGGGCACAGGCCGCTGCAGCCACATTCGACCCCCATACACTTGCATTGAGTTTGAGTTCGTACTCGAACATTTCAGCGGTTCGAATGTTCGAATACGAACCGAACACGGGGGTGTTCGGCTCATCCCTATACTTAACTCCATCCCTAATGATATCTCTACACCCAACTATAACCCTAATGCTAACTCTACACCCAACTATAACCCTAATGCTAACTCTATACCCAACTATAACCCTAATGCTAACTCTACACCCAACGATAACCCTAATGCTAACTCTACACCCAACTATAACCCTGTTGTAACTCTATACCTACCTCAAACTCTAATACCAACTCTAAACCTAACTCTTACCCTAATGCTAACTCTAAACCTAACTCTAACGCTAACTCCAGACCTAACTCTAACCCTATTGTACCTCTATACCCAACTCCATCCCTAATGCTGCTAACTCTATACCCAACTCTAACCCTAATGCTAATTATACCTAACTCTATCCCTATTGTAACTCTATACCTAACTCTAACCCTAATGCTAACTATACCTAACTCTATCCCTATTGTAACTCTATATCTAACTCAAACCCTAATGCTAACTCTATGCTCAACTCTAACCCTATTGTAACTCTATATCTAACTCAAACCCTAATGCTAACTCTATGCTCAACTCTAACCCTATTGTAACTCTATATCTAACTCAAACCCTAATGCTAACTCTATGCTCAACTCTAACCCTATTGTAACTCTATACCTAACTCAAACCCTAATACCAACGCTATACCTAACTCTAACCCTAATGCTAACTCTAAACCTAACTCCAACCCTAATGCTAACTCCATCCCTATTGTACCTCTAAACCTGACTCAAACCCTAATGCTAACTCCATATCTAAATCTAACCCTACTGTAACTTTATACCTAGCTCTAACCCTAATGCTAACCTCAATGGGGACATAGACATCAATACAAACCTAACAGAAGATACGTGGCTCTGAGGCTAGGTTCACACCTAGGCGATTCAGATGCTGACCTGTTTTTGCGCGATTGTCGCGCGTTGTCAATCGTACGACTGTTCATTGAGGGCTGGTGCACACCTAGGCAACACCCCACCGCATGGTCAGGAGTCGCCTAGCTGTGCACCAATCGCGCTGTGGGTGCCATTATTTTGTAATGGCGCCCCGGTTTCCCGCTGTGATTCCGCCCGTGCTTCTGAAAACAGCTGCGCTTAGGGTTAGTTAGGGTTAATTTTCTGTAATTGCCATGCAGATGTCACCCCATTGAAATCAATGGAGCCGCGTGGCAATCGCTGCCTGCATTGTGCAGGACCGCGCAATCCCGGATCGCGGAGGTCTGCACCGGGCCAAACCGCGCGGTTTTCAATGCATAGAGATGTCTATGGAACCCAAACCATAGGTGCTCCTTTTCGCATGACAAGTGATTTTGTCAGCGCGACAGACCGCAAAGGTGTGAACAGCCTCCTTTGACTTTAATGCGAATCTGTGTTTTACACGATAACGCGCGACCCAATCCGCGCGATAAATTGCCTAGGTGTGAACCTAGCCTGAATACTGGTTTCCATTTTTCTGTCCACTATATACCTATACACATAGCTGTACACAGTTGTTATCAATAAAGTTTATCTAGAGATTTATGCGCTTTTCTTTGCGGCTCTGACAAACGTCACTTTCGCAGTAGGATCCTTTCATTGGCTCACGTTGTCTGTTGCAGGTACAGCTAACACGGTGGCCGATTGCTGCCTTCAGACCGGCAGCAAGAGAATCCCGTCCAACATTGTCGCCGGATATGAGCTGCAGACGCCAGAGAAGGGATGTATGAAGACAGCTGTCGTGTGAGTAGATAAGAAGAAGGTTAATGGCGCCCAATGTCAGAGGGTAGAGGAGGGGCAAATTGGGGGAAATGGCTGACTCTGAACTTTCTATTCCCTCTAAATATTTACATATAGATCTGATCAATCGATCTATAAATCCATGCAGGGCTGGATTTCCCACAAGGCCACCGAGGCCGGGCCTTGGGGCAGCAGGGAATAGAGGGGCACCACAGCCGCCGGGCGGGTAGTTTTTTTTTCTACATTTAGCCCTGCTTCAGGCAAGCAGGGCTAAATGTACAGCTGGGAAGCCGGTGTTTTAGTACAAGTGATCCCAGCAATGTTGCTGAGATCACTGGTAATATGCATGCAGATCCGTTCCTCAAACCGCCCCCAACCCCTACCCCCATGGTCCGTCCGTCCCCTCATGGTCCCCCCCATGGTCCGTCCCCTGCCTCTCCCCGCTGGCCTTCTCCCTTCCCACTGGGAATTGCGGGGTCCCCGGCACATTCATTCACGATGAAGAGCGCAGAGCTGAGCAGAGAACATCCGTTCTCCGCTCTGTTGCGTGTAAACACTGAGAAAGCTGCACTTGCAGCGTTCCCCTCTCACCTGTCACAGGATATTTGTATGCAGCCTGCCGGTCTGCCATTCACCACCGGGGAGGGTGGAGGGGGGGGGATTGGCATTGAGGGGGGCGCACTGAGGAACCCTGCCTTGGGGCAGCAGAGAGAGTAAATCCGGCCCTGAATCCAAGTCATGATTCAGAAATTGTCAGATTATCTGCAGAACAGACATCTTTATATTCAGGAGACTGAAACAAATTCTCTATTCACTTATCACCGAAGAGGTTGTCACATTGATCAACCTCTTATTTAAGGGAAACCCCTACTGACTGATATATATATATATATACAGGTGAAACTCGAATAATTAGAATATCGTGCAAAAGTTCATTTATTTCACTAATGCAACTTAAAAGGTGAAACTAATATACGAGAGATACTCATTACATGCAAAGCAAGATAATTCAAGCCGTGATTTGTCATCATTGCGATGATTATGGCTTACAGCTCATGAAAACCCCAAATCCACAATCTCAGAAAATGAGAATATTGTGAAAAGGTGCAATATTTTCGGCTCAAAGTGCCCCACTCTAATCAGCTAATTAAGCCATAACACCTGCAAATGGTTCCTGAGCCTTTAAATGGTCTCTCAGTCTGGTTCAGTAGGAATCACAATCATGGGAATGACTGCTGACCTGACAGTTGTGCAGAAAACCATCATTGACACCCTCCATAAGGAGGGAAAGCCTCAAAAGGTAATTGCAAAAGAAGTTGGATGTTCCCAAAGTGCTGTATCAAAGCACATTAATAGAAAGTTATGTGGAAGGGAAAAGTGTGGAAGAAAAAGGTGTACAAGCAGCAGGGATGAGCGCAGCCTGGAGAGGATTGTCAGGAAAAGTTTTGGGGACTTTCCCAAGGAGTGGACTGAGGCTGGAGTCACAGCGCATCAAGAGCCACCACACACAGACGGATCCTGGACACGGGCTTCAAATGTCGTATTCCTCTTGTCAAGCCGCTCCTGAACAACAAACAACGTCAGAAGCGTCTTACCTGGGCTAAAGAAAAACACACCTGGTCTGTTGCTCAGTGGTCCAAAGTCCTCTTTTCTGATGAGAGCAAATTTTGCATCTCATTTGGAAACCAAGGACCCGGAGTATGAAGGAAGAATGGAGAGGCACACACTGCAAGATGCTTGAAGTCCAGTGTGAAGTTTTCACAGTCTGTGTTGATTTGGGGAGCCATGTCATCTGCTGGTGTTGGTCCACTGTGTCCAGGGTCAGCGCAGCTGTCTACCAGGAGATTTTGGAGCTCTTCATGCTTCCTTCCGCAGACGAGCTCTATGGGAATGCTGACTTCATTTTCCAGCAGGACTTGGCACTTGCCCACACTGCCAAAAGCACCAAAACCTGGTTCAATGGGTTCAAGATTACTGTGCTTGATTGGCCAGCAAACTCGCCTGACCTGAACCCCATAGAGAATCTATGGGGCATTGCCAAGAGAAAGATGAGAGACATGAGACCGAACAATGCAGAAGAGCTGAAGGCCGCTATTGAAGCATCCTGGTCTTCCATAACACCTCAGCAGTGCCACAGGCTGATAGCTTCCATGCCACGCCGCATTGAGGCAGTAATTGCTGCAAAAGGGGCCCAAACCAAGTACTGAGTACATATGCATGCTTATACTTTTCAGAGGTCCGATATTGTTCTATGTACAATCCTTGTTTTATTGATTGCATGTAATATTCTAATTTTCTGAGATTGTGGATTTGGGGTTTTCATGAGCTGTAAGCCATAATCATCACAATTATGACAAATCACGGCTTGAACTATCTTGCTTTGCATGTAATGAGTCTATCTCATATATTAGTTTCACCTTTTAAGTTGCATTAGTGAAATAAATGAACTTTGCACGATATTCTAATTATTCGAGTTTCACCTGTATATAGGGAGCCGAGGCTGCCCTCTTTTTGTTCTCTTTCTGTTATCTGGGTTTGTTGGGTTTCTCCTCAGACCAGGACGTGGTTTGCTTCCGGAGAATGTTCTCCAGAAAGTAGAGTGAGAAGTTACAATGTTGTAGATTATGAATATTTTTGTCACCCAGGACAATCACTGAGAGGTTTATGCCAGTGATATGGACGGTGGAAGGAGATACATATTTCAGGAGACCTTTCAGAAAGGTCCTTCGCCCCCAGGCTTTGCCGGGATAGGATGTGTGTGTGACGGGTCCAGTCTTGGCCTGCGGCCTGAGGAGGGGTATGAGTCTAGAGGATTTTGACTTTTACTGCTGCATGGGGAAGGAAGATGAGGCTGAAGAAGAGTTTTGCTTAGACAATTAACAGTCTCAGTATAACTACTACAATATGGTGGTCTCGGTATGAAGGTCAATGACTAACCTGTGAGAGGGATTGAAGATACTTAAAGGAGAACTATGAGGCGAGTGATTTTCCCTCTAACTCATAGTTCGAGCCGACGTGTGACAATGAGACTGTCACAGGTCGGCTCAATAGATCGGGAAGTGAGAGAACACATACCGTCGCTCATTCACATCTCGATCCTGTCCCTGCAGAGAGCCGTGACTGTCACTCATGGCTCCCTGCAGGGATTCCTCCCTGCTCTGATCCTCCAGCACTGATTGGACAAATGGACAGGGGAGGGGGGCGGGTACAACTGACTCTGCCTCTAGATAGGCAGAGCCAGCTGTCAATCGCGCAGCTGGGTGGATCTCGACAGTAATGTAGCTGTAGCTCGCGGTATACTGGGCTTTGGGTCACAGGAGGACGCTAGTTTGTGTCCTCCCGTGACCTTTAGGAGAACTATGGGGAAAAGCACTGACCCCATAGTTCTCCTTTAAGGATAGTTGTCCGCCTGGCCTGCCAGGTCTACTTTAGCCTATGGCAGAGTTATACATAAGCCTGCAGCAGAGGAAAAAGATTCTAGTCGAATGTAATGGAGTGGAGGGCATTTTTGCTGCTGTTTTTGGGAAACCTTTATCCTCCATTCCTTAGACGTTGAGCCAATAAAAAAGCAAAATGGAAGATTGACAAAGTGGAAGTCTGTCATCTGGTCACTGCTGGTGGGGCAGTGACTATTTGGGTCCAGCTATAGGACAAATTACCAGTAGAAAGACTAGAAGGGCCAGAAAAATTCAGCAGTTCCTGAGGGTGTTGGGTACCACAAACTTTAAAGGAAACCTTTAAATTGATAAAGCTGCTACTGCTGACCTCGTCTTCTGAAGATGCCCCGTTCCTTAGCTGTCGCCTTAACAGTCCCTGTCCTCAATGTCCTGCAGGTTCCTTACCAACACCAAGCCCTTGCGGAGGCTGTGCGCCCCTCAGGGCTCCCCCTGGGTTGTCAAACTGATGAAGAGAGTGGATAAGAAAAAAGACTTGGAGAAGAAGGACAAGACTGACCGCAGACCAAAGAAAACCCCCCAGCGGCAACAACGGGAATAATCCGAGGTATGCGAGTCCCTGGGCTGGTCCAGTCACTTCTACTTCACCTGAAGCTTTTATTTGCCACCTATTTCCACAGGTAGCACCGCCTATGTCTGAACCATTGGCTGCACCATAGTCTTCTGAAGGAAGGAAGTTGGACTGTCCGTGTTCTTCCTTAACTAGCAGACATTTAAGTGTAGAGTCTCTCCGCTCCCCTGACCTCACCACATCATAACGCCATGCCCCAACTAGTCTTTGTCTTCTGTACAGGCCATGGTCATTGACCGCTATACATTTTTAAGCACAAGCAGGGCCGGATTTCCCACAAGGCCACCGAGGCCTAGGCCTCGGGACGGCAGGGAGTAGAGGGAGGCACCGGGTGGGTATTTTTTTTTTCTACATTTAGCCCAGCTTCGGGCAAGCAGGGCCAAATGTAGAGCGGGGGAAGCCGTCACTTGTTTGGTACTTGGTTTTTCTGAGTCCCCCACTCTTCTGGGAGGACCGTGTTGCCATGGCAAAGTAGTTCAGGACGGAGAGTGGGGAACTTGTAAACACTGAGATTGGAGAGCTGCACTCACATCCTTCCCATCTCAGCTGTCACAGGAGACAGAGTACAAACTCCTGTATTGGAGGTGACAGATTCAATAAAGAGAACCTGTCACCTTAAAATGCTATCACACGGGATTGTTAGCTCCTGTGTGATAGCAGTAAAGTTAAGTGGAAAAAAAACTATTTAAATAAAAAAATATATAAAAATAAAAAAGTAAAAAAATAAGCAAAAATAATTAAAATAAAAAGTAATAAAAAATAAAATACAAAATATATTTTAAAAAATAAAAGATAGTAAGATAAATAAAAATGTAAAAAAGTTTAAAAAAAATTAAAAAAAATAAAATCAACCCTGCCACCCCTGCCATCTGGTTTGCCATTCTCCATGGGGGGGTTTGGTGGGGAGGGGGCTGCGCATTGAGCAACCTGGCCTTGGGGCGGCAGAGAGAGTAAATCCGGCCCTGAGCACAAGGGTGGAAACGTAGGTGGACATGTGGTCTACGTAGCTTGTGCGGCTCAATATGGGGCTACAAGAGCACATGCAGGGCAACAAGGACAATGTAGCCCATCAAGGTTAAAGGGAAAGCTGCAGAGGGTTTTAAAGATGGCAACCACTGCCGGCCACTTGGACACCTCTGTGTGGGAGAAAGCCTCAGAGGAGGACGTTTTATTAAAGTATAATGAAACCATCATCACAAAAAATTATTATTATTATACAGGATTTATATAGCGCCAACAGTTTGCGCAGCGCTTTACAATATAAGGAAGACATTACAGTCACAATACAATTCAAGACAAGATGGTAAGGAGGGCCCTGCCCCTGAGGGCTTACAATCTAAAAGATGTTTTTGTTGCACACATTCTAATGTTCTAGTACAGTATCTCCATTGTGACTCTAGCTGGGCTTGTACTCTCAATATTATTTAAATTATTATAACTGTGCAGCCTTCCTCATGGAAGATTTGTATTTATTCCACCTTAATTTGCCCTGGCTGACACCCACCCAGCAAGACATTTTGATATTTGCCTAACTCCTCCCAAGAGGCGGCCTACTGCTTGCATCACGGCTGAGGGCTCTTGGTGCTGTGATGTTTTCAGAATGCTATGTACGGCCCGTCCCACTAGCCATGATCTGCCTGCATTGCATAGAGCAGCATAGAGACCCAATGATGACATCGCTGGGTGTAAAATAATATATTCTGATCTTCTCTCAGGTCTCCGCTGAGATCCCCGTGATCCATCCAATGTGATGTTGAATACGTACTGCCACCCACAGACACAACGCGTACCGCACAAGAGATCCGCTGCAAGTCCTGTGACCCCGGAGCAGAAGAATCCGGACACAACAATTGGACATTTGTGCAAAATGAATGAAATGTGAAATCTCAGCTTTTATTTCTCTGAGACTTTTATTTTTATGTAACCCGAGTCTCCTTTCCTTCCGTCCTTCTGTCCTTTCTTTTCCTCTCAGGTCACATCTTACTTTGTATTACTGCCTATTCCCTTCCTTTCCCCCTTCTTTCCTTTCCATTCCCTTCCTTTCCCCTTTCTTTCCTTTCCATTCCCTTCCTTTCCCCTTTCTTTCCATTCCATTCCCTTCCTTTCCCCTTTCTTTCCTTTCCATTCCCTTCCTTTCCCCTTTCTTTCATTTCCTTTTTTTCATTTCCTTTCCCTTCCTTCTCTTTCCTTCCCATTAATTTCCCTTCCCCTTTCTTTCCCTTCCTTGCCATTCCCTTCCTTTCCTTTTCTTTCAGTTCCTTTCCCCTTCCTTTCCTTGATGATGAAATATATTTGTGTGAATTTCCTTTATTATATACACTTTTATACACATTTTTATCATAGATTATATTTTTATATGTGTTTTTTTTTTTCTTTTTATACATTGGTTTGCATTGTATAATGATACCGCCCTCCTCAGTCCTCAGAACCTGTTTGCCCCTCCCATACTTTTTTGTCCCTAAAATGT